ATTACAAACACGAAAGTTTGTGACTATGGATGGATGGATGTTTGTTATTCTTTCACGCAAAAACTACTCAACGGATTTTGATGAAACTTTACAGTCATATAGCTTATGCAACTGAACAACACATAGATTATATTTTTTATTGAAATTTTCCGCGGGTGAAACCGCGAGCACAGCTAGTATTTTTACGTGAATGAGTAACAAACTTTCATGTTTATAATAATACTAGCTACTCGCCCCGGCTTCGCCCGGGTGTACATGTATTATATATATAAATCTTTTTCTTGAATCACTCTATTATAAGAACCCGCTCCAAAATCCGTTGCGTAGTTTTAAAGATTTAAACATACATAGGGACGAACAGACAACGACAGCGACTTTGTTTTATACTATGTAATGATTAAGATTTACTTATAGTGACGATTTGAAACCTATATTCGTAATTTTAATGTACAAGATTGTAATCAGTAATCAGGCTTCGTGGTGTTGAGATGTATGAACTCTGAGTAGTGGGTGAGGCGAGCATGAGTGGAATGTTAAACACACAAACAACATGTGTGTTGTGTATATATGTATATATCAATAAAATTAAAAAGAGTCTCTGTTTATAATATTGAAATAACCGTTTTCATGTAGCAAACATGCATAAGAATATAAATACGGTACATACCACTAAAATAATATTTTTTACAATTATTCCGGGTAATCTCTGAAATGGTTGGACCGATTTTGACGGGGCTTTTTATGGCAGATAGCTGATGTAATAAGGAGTAACTTAGGCTACTTTTATTTTAGAAAAATAACGTTAAATTCCACGCGGCCGACGTGTACGTAACGTAAGTAATTATTTAGTTTACAGCCGCCTACTTGAGATCAGTTTGTTCTAAAACCACATCACATCAGTGACATAACGTGCCTACATATGTATTTACGTTACGTTCAGGTCACACACCAGGTCAACTGTTGTGTCTAGATCACAATGTTTCGTCCTTATTCTTACTAATAATGTGAGAGTAACTCTGTCTATCTGTCTGTCTCGCTTTCACCCAAAACTACTGTACCGATATAAATGAAATTTGATCCACAGATAGTCTAAATCTTGAGAAAGGACATAGGCTACTTCTTGAAGCGAAAAAAGGGTTGTAAGGCTTTGAAAGCGGAGATGAAAAATTGTCTGGAAGCATCGTTAATTTTAGAAGATAGAAAATTATTTTTTGTTCTCTAGCAACACACAAGTTTCTTGCTCGTTCTTCTTGTGATGAGACAGCTTTCCAAACGAGCAGTAGATAAAAAAAATTGTATGACTATTCAAAAGTGCTTAAATTTAGTTCATTTGAATAAATGATTTTGTATTCTATTCTGTCTTTCATTGGATACATTACAAAAAGGTACAGGTGATGTAATTAAATAGTTATGAGGAAGCTCTATTGTGTGTACCCGCAGCCTCCAGACACTGTCCCTGCGTTCCAAGTATAGTTACTAAGCAAGCTATAGGTATACCAAGCAGCTGTAAAGTGTGGGCTTCGTTTTTAGATTAGTATGTTATCTAAGTTAATTTATAATGTCGCTCACCAGTCACCACACGCTTATCTATACATATTTATAGGTCTCGTGTTAAAAATTGCAATAACTATTTTTAGCTACATAAGTACCGTGTATTTCCTCATAACTCATAACAGTCACAAATCTGACGTCTGCCTTTCAGTTACTGATGGTTAGGTCATTACTAATGATATATTTTTGTTGATTTGGGTATTTTATGTTATCTTTACATCTATACATATAAATAAAATTGGAGTGTCTGTTTGTAATATTGAAATAACCGTTTTTTACTATATGCATATGAAATAAATACAGTACATACACCAAAATAACATTTTTTATAATTATGACTGTCTGTTTGTTTCGGCTAATCTCTGAGAATGGACCGATTTTGACGGGACTTTTTTTGGCAGGTAGCTGATGTAATAAAGAGTAATTTAAAATACTTTTATTTTAGAAAAATAAAGTTAAATTCAACGCAGACGAAGTTGCGGGAACAGCTAGTGTTATATATTAACTTATTGTTACCAGTTATAATTATGCTGAATCATAACAATTATAATTAGAGAAGTAATGCGGGGCTACAAGTGTTGGGAAGCTGCGTCTGTCTACTAGGTGATCCACACTGTTAAATAGAAGCGATCCACTCCACATCATTAAAGAAAGCCAAACATAATCAATTACAACTATCTTCAAAAAAATATTCAACAGTTTCAGCTGTGAGATATATCAAGTTTGTGTGCATGTACCATTTCTGGTGTAGAACATCTGACTGATTGCTGTGATGTCAGAATTATTGAACAGTGTCATCAAATGTGGATCGTTTTGCTCAGTATCTATATACGAGCATCGTCCTGATTTATAGAATTTAAAAATACTCAATATGTTAATGTTATGTAATTTGTTAATATGTAGAAAATACTAAAGATAATTCAAATTAAATCATTTATTCCTGTAGGACATTTAAGCCACTTATAAACATCAAATTTTTTACATTATAATATTTTCCCTACCGAATTGAGAAGAACTGGCAAGGAACTCCATTAAATTTTATTTTCTTAAAAGCCAGTTTATTTACAATGTATATTTATATAGGTGTCTATGTCTAACATTACATGAGAATCCCGTGCATGAACAACTATTGCCATGCACGCTCGTCAATCAAGTAATCGTTTAGTGAGTAGGCTTTGCTCAGTAAATATGATTTAACAGATGTTTTGAACTTTTGCAATGAAACCAGATATGTACGAGTATATCAACTACAATCTAGAGATGTTTTATAACAAATGTAGACAACTGATTCCAGCTGCATAAGAGATTAACATTTGATTTGGTCACACGAGTGCAATAATAGCTTGTGAGTAATGTATGTGAACGGCAGGAAGAGTTCATCGTCTGTAAGTACAGCGAGCGGTGGCTGCGGAGGGAAACGTGATGCAACGAACACTCGATGACTAACGGACGAACATCGCCAGGTGTCCATCCTTATATCTTCTTATTGTGATAACGATAAGCTATCATTCTCGAATATTCCTTTATTAACTTCATTAACGATGTACATTATGTGGAAATTAATACAATTTATAGAATAAAATAAGTTAACATCACGATTTGAGAGCTTCATCTCAAATTAGCAGTTACATACATAGTCTGCTGTAGAGTCAGTGTAGCTATTACAGTACGTCTAAAAATTGTTATTTCAATGTACATTATAAGTCTTTACAGTTAATAAATAGTTCTTTAGGTCTTTTTTTAAATATTATATTATTTTCTTCTCGTTTTATACTTTCGAGGATTTTATTGTATGTTAAAATAGATCGGTAGTAGGGACCTGCTCTAAACATTTCTATTTTGGTTTCTGGGAGTGATAGTTTGGTGTCTGTTATTATTTTTAAAATTAAATTTAGATAAATGATTGCTAATAAATGTCAATCTCCAATATATAGATCGATGGTACAGTAAATATTTTAGATTTTTGGAAATATGTTTTAATACTTTCAAATCGTTTTATTTACTTTTACGCACATTTACTTTTTTTTTGCAATCTGGTAATTATGTTTTAATAAAAAAAGAAATAGATTATAAAATGCCGCAAATATATTAAAAATATATTATTAGATCGAAAGAAGTACGAAATATGACAATGTATAGACAAGTGACTGTTAATATGCAGCCACTAAAAGTAAAATACAGCTAAAGTCATGTGCTTCAACTACAATAGTCACCAGCAATAGTAATTAATATAAGAAACTGTAATCAATGATGTGAGTATATATTAGGGCTACACACCACAAAAGGTTACTGAGGTCACACAATACTCGTTTAGAATGGTTCGTAATATAACGGTGTCCGTGTACCTACTACTCGACACCGATGTTGTTTACGTTGATTGTTTGTTTGTTTGTTACAAACACAACAACAAACACAAAGTGACGTTGACACCAAGTTGCCTTCAAAGAACAAGTGTACCTTATGGACCAGAACGACATTCTGCTACATCGGTTATTATAGAGAGACTGATCTCATTCAGCACTAATATCAGCAAAATACGGATTCATGATAAATTAATCAGCTCTGTATGCTGTCCTGAATCCACTAATGTTATATTTATAGTGTATTGTATTGTATTCTGATTTCTGATGAAGCAGATCACAAGGAATATGAATATATAATTACAGTCACGTTCTAATGGCTCACTTCCACAGCGACTTCCATTCGTGGCCTGGACTGTTAGTCGTTGCTGCCACACATTGGTATCGAGGCCGGCCTTTATGATTTGCTAGCCTTTGTGATGGCTAAAAACGATTTTATTCAAACTCATCAGCATTCATATTGGTATGTTGAACATCAGCGAGAATGCGGCCCGTGAGTACATACGAAGCGGAGCAACGACCGTGCGGGAGCTGTCAGCGCCGCGCCATCTAGCGGCGCCGCCGCCACACCGCGCCACCGCCGGCCGCCCGGCCGGGACTACCTTCCAATGGTGATCTTTCCCAACACTAGCACATTACCAATTAGAATATTGTACGACACTAATTTCCAACTATTTCATAGATTAATTGGTACCTACATTAAATCTACAGTTTTTACCTGTAAAAGCTACCATATGCTGAATAATTTCGATCTTTTAATTACAAACAAAGACTCAAAACACTGCGAACAGACGACTGTACTTGTATAGAGGAGCATATAGAGGGGCACCTCGGTCAAAACAGTTACCGATGTATGGACGATTTGTATACAGTTGTGTGCAAATTATTTCCGAAATATGACTAATGATCTAAGAATCAAAAGGAAAAGTGTTTGCACAGCTCTCTCGGCTCGGCCTCAATCCCGGTGAAGCAGCAATACATGGCATGCGCGGGCGCCGGCCGTGACGTGTCGCGCCTGAGATTACAACTACTCCCTGGATTGAGATCCTTGGGCTGTTGAGTGTCATCACGTCCCTACAAGGAACTCACCTTGGAGTGTTTGAATCGGGAACGTGTCACTACAGTGTCTCGACGTCGTGTACTACACTCGCGGCGTACTTCGCGCCACAACGGCGACTCGGTGTGCACTGAAGGTATGTCGTGCACGCTGCCCGCCCCCGCCCCCACCCCACCCCACCCCACCGCACCGCGCCTCGTACCTGCGCGGAGCAGAACCTACACACAGGTGTGGCGATGACGTGAGGGCCGGTGGGAGCCTTCGGCTGCGGGCGGGGGGGAGGCGGAGGGGGAGCGAGCGCGGCCGAGCGCGGTGCGGCGCGGGCGGCGCTGGTCAGTGTCGGGCTGTGCGCTGAACCGACCGCGCGTCGCATACGAAGCGAGCCATGTCCACGAACGGATCGGCGGCTACCGAGCCGCGGCTGTGCCACGTGAGGAAATCGCCTAATTTCGATGGTTACGGGTTCAATTTACACGCGGAAAAGGGCAAACCGGGCCAGTACATCGGCAAGGTCGACGAAGGATCTCCGGCGGAGGCGGCGGGGCTGCAGCGCGGAGATCGCATCCTTGAAGTGAACGGAAACAGCATCGTCGGCGAAACACACAAACAAGTAGTGGCGCGGATCAAGGAGCGGCCGGAGGATGCGGAGCTGCTGGTGGCGGCGCCGGCGCCCGGGGACCCGCTGCCCGACCTGGACGCGCCCGCGACCGCCCCCTCCCCCGCCGCCGACCGCTCCCCCGCCGCCGCGCGCCCCCACCAGCGCCAGGACAGCCCTCCGCCGGCGGACCCGCCGCGGCTCAACCTGCAAATGACCGCGGCGGAGATGCGAGCTCATCTCGCCGCTAAAAAGAAAGTCGACCCCAAGAAAGTACCGATGGACTTGAAGTCCAAATTTGACATCGTTAAAAAACTGTGATCCGGGAGTGAGGCGCGCCGTGTACTGTGTCGTCCGTGGTTGTTGTTGTGGTCGCGTCGCGTGCAGTGCTCTGTGCGGTTCGGGCCAGAATCGTGTGGTCCTCTAGGTTTACGGCGACGTCGCAGGTCGGCGGCGCGTCGTCGTTGACAGTGCGACGTACAGGTACATGTGTGGTGGCCGGCTGGCCGGGGCGGTGCGGGGTGGGGTGGCGCCGCCGCGCAGCGTTGCCAGCTCTCGCGCCGTGACACCGATAGTTTCCACACGATCGTCACGTAAAGTACACAAAATGGGAGTGTGACATCAATAGCGCAACCGCAACCGCGGCGCAGGTCGGCGCGCGGATCCCACACCGCCACCACGCACCTCACCACCGACCCGCCGTCTACCGTCTGCCGTCTGCCGTCTGCCATCTACCGTCTACCGCTCACGTGATGCGTGTTCCATCACACGGTCGGTGCACGATGTAACAGTACCTATTCGGTACTAATGCAATGTTGTATAATAATTGTATGCCTATTTTAAATTGCCATTGATAAAATATGTACATACCTAGATACGTTTAATGGTAAATAGAAAAAAATATATTGTATTTGTTAGGTAGGTAGGTACCTATGTAATGTATATGAGAATTGTTTAAATTTTAAATACTTGATTATCTAAATGTGTAGTTTAGAGTTATTTACCTTTGTAAGTGCAATCTTTTATTGTTGAATCATTGATGATGAAATAAATGAAATATCTAAACGAGCGAACACGTTGGCTGTATAATTTATCACATTGTTATCACCCGCGCGTAGATATATCTATCTATCTACATCACATACGTGTGCGTGCATGTGTGTGTGTGTCGTCGTAACCTCGCGTTTACCCACCTACCTGTGTCGATACCTGCGATTTGATTCGAATATTTTAATGTGTGTGAGAGCTGTTGCTGGCTATAATCGACTCTTATACTATATACTTCATAAGGGTATTTATTGTATGGGTATATGGTATAGTACATGGCCTGACTCGGTTGGTCAAGTGTGTATGTAATAAGTAATACAGTTGAATTTTACAATTAGGTTTACACGAATCCTCATTCTGTATATTTACAGCACATTGTCTAACAGTGTCTCAGGACGATGTACACAGCGCCACTCAGTCTCAAGGTAGGCAGAGCTTGTGTGATCGGTATTGAAAAAGTAATGTAAATACACAGATACTTTTTTTCTAAATACATAATATACTATGAAAACATACAAAAATATTTATTATCGACTAGCTGCACTCGCGACTTCGTCCGCGTGGAATTTAACTTTATTTTTCTAAAATAAAAGTAGCCTGAGTTACTCATTACATCAGCTACCTGCCAAAAAAAGTCCCGTCAAAAAAGGGTCCAGCCATTTGTCGGAACAAACAGACCAAATATTATTTTGGTGTATGTACTAATACAGTAGTATTTATATACGTAACAATATGCATGTAGTAAAAAACGGTTATTGCAATATTACAAACAGACACTCCAATTTTATTTATATGTATAGATTATGCTGATGTGCTGATCGCACGTGAATGAGGACCTCTTCAATAATGGTATACGTTACACTTTCGGTTTTCGGAAGTACGAGCATCTCTGCTTACCGCTGCTGAAATTGCTTCTTATTCGAAATGTTCGCCTCTTGTGTACTCTATTCATTGCTATACGATCCTAACTACCTGAGTATCCTAATAACAAATTTCATTTACCTAAATGCAGACATTTCTTAATATTATATTATCTGTGCCGTAACCTTCGTTCATTTTGGATTTTTTTTTATTAGCATACAAACAGATTACTATCAATACAATAATATCATTAGGAGCGTGTAGTTCGGTACAAAACTGGATTATAATACAACACTATGTATGACTGAAAGATAAATTATATAGACACATTCAATATACGCTAGTAAAAAGTAAACTAAATAGAAAATAGTATAATATATAACTACGTAATGCTATGTCTCATTATGTTAACAGAATTTTATTTATGTTAAAAAAATAAAATTACTTGTATTGTACAAACTTAATATCTAAATCTTTCACATTACTATCCATAAAATACTTGAATGACTTACCTCCTGACCAAATCCACAACGACCTGATTCACATTTAAATCTAAATTACGACAACATCTTTGCCTGAACCTGAATAATTTCTTTTCTAATGTCACAGTTAAATAGCATTCTTCTTACTTAGGTACGCATCTGAACATTCACTGTTAATTTTTTGTATGTATTTTTAAATATAACTACAAACTCGTACAGTTTGTAGTTATATTTATAAATACTCAGTATATTTGTTTGTTTGTTTAATGTTAGGTATTATACATATATGATTAGATTATGAACTCGGTTAATATGAATCATAGGTTTTTTAACGTTGTTTATTTTAAATTGTAATCATTTTTTTTAAATGCACTGCCCACATAATTCTCTGTTTGCCGTGTGGTTGACTGGGAGAAATTGTCTCAAGGTGTTAAGTCCACCACATGCATATATATTTCTGCATTTATGCAATAAAACTTTAATAAATAAACAAATAATACGTTTGTATAGCTCTATGTATGGAATATATAATGGGCGTTTGTGGAAACAATTCAAAAATTTATGACTGTCCAGTCATACTCAGGAATACAAATGTTTTTAAAGTTTGTGCGAGGAATCGAACCCGCGAAACGTAAGTAAGGGTTGTGATAAACCGCTAGACCACCGAGGCCAGCAAAAAAATCTATTGTACTGTATTACATGATAAAATTGAATACTGCAGATATTACTGTACTATATTGTTACAATACGTGCCGTTGCCGCGTTGTACTGATTCAGATAAACCGCAATTAAAAAATTGTGTAATAAAAAAAAACCCAACGTCGGCAGCAGTCTTTATAACCGACCACTGTAGCCCACTATACTCTGGTGAAGTGAAGTAAAGTGAAGTGAAGTGGTGACGTACACAATGATTCACAGAAATTATCGATAGAACCTTGAGCGCCGACAGATCCGACCTACTCCACGCCACTCCGCGCATACTTAGGTACTGTTCACTTCAATATTATTCAATATATTCACTCTGTACAAATGTATATACTTATTTATATTCTGATGGATGACACCGCGAAAGTGTTTACCATTACATTATAATACTTGATTTACTCAAAAACATATTTACTCACTTTCAACAATTACGTACATTCCTACAAACACATTTAATAGTTACACTTGTAAACATCCCTCCGATCGATCCCCCGTCCTATTCAAACGGGGATCCATATACGACGGCCTGAGCCGAGGTGCGAGCCTAGCGGTGCCCTCACACTAAACTCGTATCCGTCAGGCGGGAGTTGGCCTTCAGCCGCTCCATAAGTCCTTCCTTTGGTTTGAAGTGCCATCTGCACTTGCCCCCTATCGTGAGGTGAAGCTGTAGAGGTCAGCTGCGACTTATAAAGAATAGTCTTTAAAAAAAACACAGATTATAAATAATGGAGTGTGTGTACAGTTAAATACACAGATTACACACACGGTATTAATATTGTGCTAACAAAACATACATATAAATATATTTAGTTGATTATTCATGTGTGTGTTCACACACACAGGAAAGAAAGAGGTGAAGAGATACCAGTCGTACCATTTACATATTTACTATTTTTACAATTATTATATATATTATTGTGACAAGAAGGCGATAATATGACAAAACATACATATAAATATACATAAAACTATAAAACCAATACGATATTTTCAAATATTGAGACACCGGGTGGGTGTAGTGGTCTACATATATAGTTTCGTGAGTGGAGAGTGGAGACGACCTATACCATACAATACTATTTTATTGTGAATGTCAGTTATGTGTTCGTTGTCTTACAAATCAACATATTTTGATTCACGTAGGTCTATTACAGACTGTTATGATATATCAAATCTAACGTCACTTCGGAGTGCTTTCGAAATAAGAACTGACAAGAATATTACCTCTTATTCTTTTCAAATGTTCCTGTACATGATTACAAAAACATAACTGAGTGAAACACAAAAACTTCTTTTACAACCCGAGTCCCGACTGAATGCTTATAAACTTTGGTACATACATACATATATACATTAGGGATGAAAAAATATTCACAGTACTATTGTATCTGTCAATCAATTTAGCACTGTATCGCCGAAGCCACGACTATAAACTAGTTGTTTAATATTTCTAAATATGTATTAGGTGGTGTTTGTCGCTGTGTCGCGCGACGTCGCGCCGCGCCGCTCGCCGCTGCCGCCGGTCGGTGTGAGTGCCGCCGCCGCCGCATGACCGACCGAGTAGTGCGGGCCGAGGCCGCGTGCGGCGCGCCTCACCATTCAATGGGCGACCTTCATATATGTACACGAACATCAGTATCATCGCCACACCGTGCACCGTGCACCGTGCACCGTGCACCGTGCTCAACTGACCATTCCTGTTCGCGAAACTATTTTATCTACAAACAGACGTGACCAAGGCAAGATACATCTCGGAATACATCTAAAATAGAAATAATCTTTATTCAAATAAACTCATTACTAGCACTTTTGAATAGTCATATTTTGATTCTACCACTCATTCGGAACGCAGATTCATCACAAGCAGAAAGAGTGAGAAACTTGTGTGTTGCTCTTTTGAATAGATGTTTTTTTTATATAAATAATTACAGTATAACAAGTAAGAGGCATGCGATAATCAACATAGAAATCGCTACGCACCCACTATTAGTGTTATCAGATAATGTTGTCAGTGCTATGGAATTTAAGTTTTTCAATAAAAATAAAAACATAACGTCATAGTCGTAGAATATAGGCGTCAGTGTTCTACGACTATGACGATAAGTTAAACTAAGTAAATACAGTGCAAGCAGAGAGTAGTGGGGGCCACGGAATATAAAATGTTCAATTCATTTGACTACACTTTCAATAGAAAGTGATATATATTGGATAGTAGTAGCTACTGTAATGTGTTACATTAACATGTCATCGACTGGCCACTCGTCACGTGCCAGTCATGGTAACAGAACTCACTTCACTCACTACTCAGATACTCAGCACACGTGACGATGATATAGTAAATATTGTTATAAGTTTGTTACAAGTAATTTCCAACATATATAGATGTGATG